GCTTGTGGAATGTTCTACTCTATGATGTAATTGTGTGAATAAGCATGGCCTCTGCAGAAGAAGATTGACAACACTGCCTGTTTAGCCCCGCCCACTGATTTGAGCATGTAGCCTAGTGTTTACGGAAGAGGCGAATGTAGGTCTACGCAGAAACCAAACAATAAAGATGCTCTGAAAACAACAAAACGCTGTGCAGTGCCAAGATTTGAAAAAAAAACAGTTTCTGTGTTGCCTTGTGTTGCCAACCTTAGGAAAGAGTGAATTAACTTTATTTTTAATGAAGATCCAGACCGCATCAGTAAGAACTTGACCGGTCCTTTGTTTACTTCATTTTACCGTGGATTCATTTTCAAACAAGACACAATTCGACACGGGATTTTCAGAAAGATTGAAACTAAAAGATGATGCTGTGGGACTATATTGGATCCGACAGTAATGTTGCAACAGTGTGAGTAGCTGTTTTTATTACGTAATTGCTTTGTCTGTTATTAAAGATAATTTGATATGAGTATTTATGCATTTTTGACCTAAATCATAGCAGCGTTCATCTATGAGGAATGTAGGCGGTCAAACATACACAACTGTTAGCTAATCATAGCAGTGGCGTTTACTTCTGAGTCTACAGAGAACAGTACAAAATAAAAACCAGAGGCAGTTAATGACCCTTTTAACAGCCAAGTTCCAGGAATACTAAGCCCGGGGCCTTATTATGGTGCATTGCTGCTTTGGACAGTGTTCCTCACCCCTATACCATCTCTCCTTTGGCCTGTATGGTGGGGGGAGTTGCTTGGTGCATTGAGGACCGTGTAAAGTGGGCCTGGGATGGAGTTGAGGTGCCTTGGGGCTGTCTGGCAGGTCTGCTGGCGATTTGCTCAGCAGAGCATTAATGGGATCATTCGTCCAAGCTGGCTTACCATTCAGGAGTGAGGAGGCCATTGGTCGCCGACTGTTAGCGCTATGGCCATGGTGGATGATATCCATCGGTTTAGGGGCACATACTCGGTCTATGCCTCCAGTTTACCTCCTGTTGGTCTGCTGCTCTCTCTCCCTGTTCTGTCCTGACCCTGGGCACACATTGCTCTGGATTTTGTTGACGGTCTCCCTCCATCCAGTAGCAATACTGTGGTCTTATATAAATATATAATTTATATTTAATATAAATGTATATTTTTAATAATTTTTCAAAATATAGGAAAATTGTAAAAAAAAAAAATTTAAATATATATATATATATATATGTGTTTTTTAATATATTTATCTATAACAAATGAACATATGACCCCTTTGAATAAAAAT